GTTATTATTATTATTATTTCTTTGGGTTGGGTAACAAGAATTGGGGCTGCTTCTTTTTTTTTTGTATAATTTAGTAAACTTCTTCAGAGTTAACCAATCGCAGCGAAGTGATTTCAATTAATCGACCGACCGAATTGAGATCAGTTTGTTTGCATCGCTTATTTTTACTTTGCTTTGACTAACGACTGCAAATTTGAAACGCGCACTTCTCTTCTCTAATTCGATGATGTTTATTTTGTTTCTCTCTTTTTCCATGAACGTTCTTTGTAGATGCTAAGCGAAAACTGCTTTACCTATCTTCCAAATAGACAAGAAACTAAAAAAAAAACAAACGAAAAGCAAAAGAAACAAAAAACGCAAACAATAAAAGAAACAGAAATCACGGCCTTCTACATTTTTCCGAACCGAACAGATGGATCCGTGGAAGACACGATGAGAACGAAAAGAAAAAAACAATACCAACGAGCGTTTCGCTCCCTTTTTTGTTTTTAGTTTATGTAATTTGCCTTGGAAACATTATTTTATTGCACACGGGGGGTGTTTGTTTGTTTGATGAAATTTTACTATTTATTTTTGTTTCCGTCATTTGTTTTCCGTTCTTGAATATCAATTTATATAATTATAAACAAACAACAACAAAACAAAAGAGGTAGTGCAAACTTGGAATATGCGATTTTAGGAATACTCGACATACACACACATACGATATTTCTATATACACCTGTTTAGTTTGTTTGTTTGTTTGTTTTTTTCTATTCATTATTTTCGTAGTGTTGTTTAGATTAATTACATATAAGCATTGTTACATTGGTTTAGCTAAATTTGTTTGATTCGTGATGTTTACCGATTGATGATGATGATGATGTTTGATGACGAAAGCTGTACCACCACTACCTACTACTTAGACTTAATACACCTAATAATGTGGATTAAATTAAGAGAGATGCAGAGACCTAAAGTTGATAAACATTTTACAGTTTCTGTTTGTTTGTTTGTTTCCGTTGATAAAAAGTAAAATTAACTTTAATTATTTATTAATTAATCGAAGGAGAAACACAAACATGATAATAATTCTATATATAATTTAATTTAGTGTAATTGAAACGAGCAAAGAAAAATTTAATAATTAGTAATAATAGTAATGGACGTAAGATTTCGTTTGTGTATCGTTTCGCGTTTTTTTTATTTTCATTGTTTGTTCGTCCTCTTAAACTCTAGTGCTCTACTTTTTCGACTGATGTACAGTGCATTAACTAGTTTAACTACTAATAATATACAGTTTTGTAACACACTCGTACGAATCTAATTAACGATCGTCGTCGTATAATTGTAAATGTATTTATTCATTCATTCATTCAATGTTATTCAACCGTGCATTAATTAGATTTGTTTTGTTTGTCTGGTTTTTTGTTTGTTGGGGGGGGAGGGGTTAATAAGACTCTACAAACATGTGATGATTAACTAATGATAGATTTCGCGTAACTAAAGATGAACCAATTAATAAGCAAAAAGAAGGGGAGTTATGTATCCAGGAATTAACTAATTACTTAATTAATTAATAATAGATTTATAATGTTAACTAAAAACTAAATTGAGAGAAAAAGCAAAAAAAAAGAGTAAGAGATTTCGAATAAATTTATATTAAATATATTTACAGATAAAAGACGAGACGGATTAGTTTAAATGTGAAAGAAAAGAAGATATAAATATAGTAATTTGTTTGCTCAAGACCGAACCCGATTATTTAATGAATCAATCAATCAATCAATTAATTAATTATAATTATAGTTGTATTATTACGATGTATTAAGTTAAGTGTAAAACGATGGCGCAGTGTGCTAAATGATGATTAGTAATTATTGTATTATTGCAGAGTGTGTATAATATTTAGACTTAAAGACCAGCGAGTAAAAAGAAAATAACATAATAAGAAATAATCGATGATTACAGTTTTACGAGTAGGCGTCGTCGCGGTGTGTGTGTATATATATTTCGTACACATGTGTGCATTGTTTATTATTTTATGTTTTTGTCGTTGCCATTAGTGATGATGATGATTATTACAATGTGAAAAGTTGTTGTTGTTAGGGCGCCATTTTCGTTCTTCTACTTTTTTTTTGAAATTTCTTTATTATTATTATTTCATGTGCGGTGAATTGTTGTGCTAGGCTTATTTATTAATATTACGATTGTTAAAAAAAAATATATATATGCAGATTCGATGCATGGGAGAGGAGACTCATTTTGTCTGTGTTCTAAATCTATATTGATTTCTGTTTTGTTTTTCGATCATTTTTTTTTAAACAATTGAAAGAAGGAATGAGAACAAATGAAATTCCATACTCTGATTGAATTAGGCACATTTTGGTTCTTGGATGGAGACGATTTTTAAGGAAATATTAACAAAAAAAAATTAATAATAATAATTATTACTATATATAAATATTGTTCTACACGTAGAGGAGACTAATTGTTATATTACACAAATATATTTAAAACTCACACACACATATATATATATCTATATATAATAGTAATTGGCACGCGCGTGTATACACACGTATCTGCCTTTGTTTCAATAATGATTACCATAGTAACCATTCATCTAGTATATAATAATATGTGCATACGTGTTTATGTAATAATGAGTTTGTAGTGCATTTTATGGGGTAGTCATAGCAACTTATATAAGATACAACTATCTATTATTACTACCATGCAACTATTTATCTATTATAATACTATTGAAGCTGATTATGTATAATATATAGATAAGGTTCTAATACATGGCAACAGACAGAGAAATGAGGAAATTAGTAAGGTTTTAACATATATATATATATAATATATTTGTAGGGTTTCGTAGTAGAGTTTTAGTGCGCATAATATAGAAAGTGTGGATTTGTTAATTAATTGATCGATAAGAGAGAAAAAGAGGTTTATTAAAAAAAAAATACAAATATTTATAAATACATATATATATATTATATGAATAAAAATGATATAATAATAATGATGATGATTGATATAGATGATACAACAAAAAGGATCTTTGCAAATTGACTAATTCTTAATAAACTTATAATAATAATAATAACATGTACCTATTATCAATATATAAAATATCTAACATTAACAGAAAAAAAAATTAATATATATATATGACTATAAATATATATAGATATAATATGATAGATTTAGTTTAGTTAGTATAATGATGATGATGATGGATAAAAAATATTATTGAGAAAAAAAAAATGAAGATGAAAAAAAATATATATATATGAAATTTTTGCCAATTTTTTGAAAAATAATAAATGAATACAGAAGAAGAAGAAGAAGAAAAAATAATATATATGATGATGATTGATGATAATAATACAATGGAATTTGAAAACATCTATGTGAGAGCTTTTATTTATTCATTCATTCATTCACACTAACCAACAACAACAACAATATACCACGTTCCATAGCAACAAGGGAGAGTTAACCGAATCAACAAACCCAAAAACAAACAACAACAAAACAATCGAAAGAGAAGAAAAGGTAAGAAGGCGACGTCAAATAGTGACGATCCGCCATTCGCGAAAAGCAGATCCGACCCATCCGCAAACGAAAACAAAAACTATAACCCGAACCCCACCAATCGACGTTCATCTTTCGAGGTCCGCCTCCTTTTTTTTTGTCGTCTTTGCTTGTGATGTTTATTTACTTGTATCGCTTTGTTTATTGTCGGTCGTATTTCATTGGTTTAGAGATCTCATTCGTCCATAGTAGTTTCATTTTGTTTCCGATTCTTAACATATTATAATATTTCGTTGGTGGTGGTAGGTAAGATGTAGCTTTTGTTTCCATAACATATTTACTAACGCACTGAATAAAATAAAAAGCCACATCACCACCATTTCTATCCATTCATCCGATGTTCACAAGACTCTCTCTGCTTTGCTGTTTGTACTTTTTTTTATTCACCAACATTATATAAGTAGTTTTAACCTGTAGTTTTGCAAGAGAAACGTTACTTTAATTACGATTTAAGTTTACTCAAGTTAAATACTTTTAATTGATTTGTATCTAAGACACTATAGTTTTTTTATTTTTTTTCTAATTTTGTCATCTGTAAATTGTTTTTTTAAGTTTTAAGTCTTTTGTGTTCTATTTTTTTTATATATATAAATATTACGTTAAGTTTTCAACTGATTTTAATTTCAGCTTAAGTTAATTTAGTTCGTAATTAATGCATTTTCTCACTTTGTACTCTTGTACGTTCATTCTTGGGGGGTGGGTGGGTTTGGTTTATGTCATAGGCCGCCTAGATTTACCTTGTATTGTTTGTTGTTGTTATATTTTTGACGTGACGTAACCTGGCAACGTTTTTTTTATTTATCTTTTGTTTCAGTTTAGGCGAATCGTTGCAATTCTCGTTAAGTCCACTTACCTTTTATTAGGCGTAAATCTAGACAAATAAATATATTATAAATTTAGATTAAGTCTTAGCTTAGTCGTGGATTAATTTAAGACTCTAAAGAAATTATATATATATATATATGTAACGAAAACAAAGGTGAGATGATACATATATATTCTTCTCTTATTTTTTATTATTTCTTTTCCCTGATAGTATATATTTCGCAATAAAGGACGAAGTGATTGAGTTTAATTGATTCTTGTTAATTATTTTTTTACCAACAATAAAAAAGATTTGAACGTTTAGCATTTTCGTAGACTTCGATATTTATTTATTTATTCTTTGATACGACCCAACAACCAATCCGCACCTTCGATCCTCCTTTCAATTGTTATAAATGTTACGTTTTTCGGTGCAAATCGTAACGAATTGTCGCAACTGTCTTCCTCTTTTCAACGCTTCTTTTCTTCTTTTCTCGTCGCCATAGTTACGTGTTTTGCAATGTTCTTGTTTTATTTGTCCGTATTTTGTTTTATTTTTAATTTTTTTTTTGAAAACCTGTGAATCTCTCTGTCTCTCTCTTCTGTAGGAGGCGATTTCTCGGCGGCCGCAGGAGATTCGTACAGTGGCGGCAGACGCCAGAGGGGCGGGGGCGGCTCTAGCAGCGGAGGTGGTGCCGGCGGCTATAATGCGAACCAACAGCAGTATCATCCCTACAAGAGATAAAATTCCAACCACATCACACCCCCCAAACAAACCCTTTCCACCCCCCCGCTCCCCACCCCAAGCATATATGTGACAGATAGAGATAGAGAGAAAGATAAACAAATGCACACAGGGTATTGTTCTTGTCGACTTGGACTAATATTTTAATATTATTGTTCTTTATTATTTTTGTTAATGTTAAGTTATGTATTAAGTATTCTCCACGTCTCTCCCCACATATTTTTATTATTATTATAACTACTGTTGAATTATTTTGTTTATCCAAAGACCACTCTTGTTTCTTTTCTTCATTGTTTTACAATTATTGACAACTTTTGCTGCTGTTTTTTTTTTAATGTACGTATAGAAAACAAAAGACTGGCGGCGGCTGTGACGAGAGTGTCTAGTAGTTATGTAAGTCTGCATCGTCGTAATTACTATTATATATTTTTCGATTTAGACCGTAAGTTTTAGTTGTACTCTATTTTTATTCTCGACGAGCATATTATAGTATTTTTGTACTCGATGTCTTCTTTGTGTGTGTGTGTCGCTGTAAGTAAATTTGGATGAAAGTGGAAGATTATCGTTTTTTTTGCAAACAAAAGTTGTTCACAAGTTTCTCTGCCCTTTGGTTCGGGGCTGAAGTTAAAAGAATACGACCAAAGTGTAACTCCTGCTTGTCGTAAGAGGCGACTAAATGGAGATCAACTCATGCCAAAACCTTTAGTTTCCATGACGATCTTATCATTCCATTATTTTATTTCTCTATAATTAAAAAAATGTTGCTATGGTTATTGTATAGTGATTATGAATGTTAGGTTGCATAACTTTAATCATTTTTAAATATCAGTCCTATGTTTCACAGTAATTGCATAATTAAACATCTATTAGTTGGTAGTAACAAATAAAGTGGTGTGGCAATCGTGATTGTTTTACATTTCCTTTGGTGTATCACCGGTTGCCTATGTTCGTTGAGTCTGTGACAGACAGTGACAGATTTATCTGAGTGATGTGTGCGTTGGGTGCAACTTGAACCGTTTATTTACCGATAAAGGGAACAAAAATGAGATAACGAAGGCTGAAAGTAGTGCTAAACACGGCAGGAATCGAATTGTAGGTAATGTTGCGTGTTTGATGTTGCATTAATTTGTTTACCGGTGATATTGTTATTGTTGTTACAGTGAAATATGGGGCCCAACGAGCTGCCGATTCCGCGTCACCTGATAATCGCGAACGGCGTCTTCACCGTCGTCGCATTCACACTGCTCCTGCTGATTCTCAAGCTGCTCGGCGTGCTCTATGCAATCGGAAAGTTCACCTCCATCTACCTGATCATCATCCTCGTCACATTCGAACTGATCAAAGCGATCGCCCGCAGACATCTATTCGAGAGCAAACGAAACTCTACTCCAAAGACTTCAACCAATTCATTTGACTCAATTCTGCTGATTGCCGTCTCATTGTTGGTGTTTTATGTGGTGCCCGTACTGTTCGGAGCTCCACTGTTTGCTGACTTCGAGGAGACCCTGATGTTCAGCACAGTGCTGACCACGCTCACCACCGTCCAGTGTCTGATACATTTGGGGTACAAGCAGAGTGTGAAGATCCTACTCGGTTTGAACACTGTGGATGCTCATTCGGTGAGTGTTTCCAGTGTTGTTTTGAGGAACGTTCAGTGCACCGTTTTCGGGGCGTGGAGCGCGGCCGTCGTCATTCCTTTAGATTGGAACAGGGCTTGGCAGGCCTGGCCGATTCCCTGCTGCATCGGCGCCCTCGTCGGTCACGTCATCGGGAATTTCACATCAACAGCTCTCGTCTTGAACAGGAGGGGTAAACTTTTGTACAAAAAGCACAGTGTCTAAACAACACTTGCATCGAAATTAACCAAAGCAATTCCTTTATTTATTAAATACGAGTTATATAGATTATTATTATTATTGTTACAATGTTATAAATTTGTGGCTGCGTTGACCATTGTCGCAAGGTCCTCCTGTCTCTGTTTGAGTCTATCCCTGATCAGTTCCGCGATCGCTTTCTGCGTCCTCCTTTCAAGTTTCTCCAACTTTTTGGCAACGTCCCTCTTGAGATCCCAATCCGGTTTCCTCGGCGCCAAATTCGTTATATCCAATTCGTCTATCACCACTTTCTCCTTGGCCGCATCCAGTTGCTCCTTAATCTCTTCTGTGAAATCAGCAGGTTCTGCTTGCGGCAAAACGTTTCCGTTCAGCTCCTCATCTGATGGCTTGTAGCTCCTGAATACGGGCCTGCAGCAAAAACACGAACATCAATCACAGTCACCCACGATTCGAAACAAAAGCAAAAACAGCCACACACACACACTACTCACTTGGGCAGGGTTATGTTCGATTCCTTCTCTCCGTTTTCTGTTTCCTCTTCGCCGTTTCTCTTGCGTTTCAAAGCGAGAAGCCTTTCCTTCCTCTTCAACGCCTGCTCTTCCAACGTGCTAGTCATTATTTTATTCAATCTAAACTAACTAAAACAAACTTTGAGGAAAACACTCGATGTATGTTTTTGTGCTCGATCGCAGCGACACCCAACAGCAAGTTAAAATGTAAACAAAGTCGTTTGGGTTGCATAGTGTGAAATATATAGTCGCGTCGCGGCATATATGTTATAATTTTTTTTAAAAATACAGGAAAATGTTTATTTCTCCGCTCAATTATTTCCCTCAATTAACTTAAATAACATAATTGAAACGACGGTCGTAATTCGAATAAGCGTTTAAACTGATTAAAAGTTTGAATTGGATATGCAACGCGGGTTGCCTATAAAAATAAAAAGTTGTTTACATTTCCGATCATCTTCTCTCTTTTAAACAATCGCCCAAAGTTTTTATTTTTGTAATGTTGCTATGGTGAATTTGTTTGAAGTGTCAAAGTTTGGAGAAGAAGACGCTCGCTTCTCAGGGTGAGTGAATTTATAATAATCACTTTTAAATAATGATAATAATACTTTTTGTTAGTATGCAAATGTATGTATATATGTATGTATATTGTATATGTTACAATCTTCTCAGTCATTATTAATTAGTACAGAGCATTAGTACATGTCCATCTCTCTCTCTCTCTTTCACACACACAGCATCATCATTATCATCATCACATAATATTGAGATACCTATTCACATTGAGCGTCAGCGAATTTTGGCAACTCTCTTTGACTAATTATAAAAAAATAAATGTTTCATCTTCAGCTCGGCATCATTCACAGCTTCTGAAGCAGCACCAGCAGTACGAACACACACACACATTCAAAACTACAATGCATATTGCAAAATAAAGGCCATATCACCAATGCACATATACATATATATATATATACATATAGAAATCAAGTTCAAACATTGCATACATCACAATATTCTAGAGACAGAGAGAGAGAGAATAAAAAAAAGATACATTTTTGTTTTGTTTTAAATATACATCATGTATGTATGTGTATATATATATATAATTGCAGTATGTAAAATAAAAATATAATTTAATTTAAGAGGATATTTGTTCTACGCTTTTGATGCATATTCTCTGTTCGCTTCTACTATACATATTAATGAGAGAATTTATAAAAAAAAAGAAAAACAAAATAATAATATATGTATATATATTATATAACGACGAATCATATACAAAATTACTAGATTATTTCATCTCATTCTTCATTCTTCAATGTGTGTTACACGTTGTTGTTTTTATATTATTATTATTATTTCAATAGTTGTAGTAGTAGTAAGAATTATTTTCCTAGCTAAGAGCAAAATTAAATATAATCGAAAGTAAATAATAGCAATAATATTAATTATTATAATAACTTTGACAATGATTTTCGTTTTCCTCATTCATGTATGTACATAGTTGTGTTCTATCTATCTACCTATCAATTACTCTATATATATATATCGGCATGTATGCATGCATGCAATTGTTCGTTGCTAGGGCTTTGTTTTGTTTATTTTAAACGGGCGGGTGGCTGGATAACTTGCGTTACACACGATACATCGAAAGCAGCGAACGTTTTTCTTCTTTTTTTTTGTTTCCATTTTGTTTGCTAGCACACTCGCACACTTGATTTATCAATTGCGTTACAATATTGACGATGATGATTATTATAATTATAAGTTGTTATTACAAATATAGATGTTGACTGTTAATATAAATGTAATTTAATGTATGTATATATATATATTATTGGGAGATAAAAAGTAAAACTTTGAAGCTTCCTTCCTTCCTTTGCGCGAACCATTAAATATATATGTATATTCGTTTATTATTCACTGTTTGTTATATATATTTTTTCTTATATTTATTTATTTTTTTCAGTTCCGGTTTGCGCGTGCACACACACACTTCCGTTCGTTCGTTCGTTGTCGCACTTGTTTAGGTGTTGAAGATGGTGATGCCGATGTAGGAGGTGGGCACGAAACCTTCTTCGGCGCTGTTCATCCGTCGGACGCGCGTCCAACCGTCTCCCTGATCGGACTCGATGAGATGCAGCTCCTCGTTCTCCGCCATTGGTATGCTTCCTTCGCTCGTGGCTGAAAGAACGATTACTAGTTACTATTTTCTTCATTATACAATTGTTTGTTTCGTTTGTTTGCAGAGGAGAGGGTACTGTACCTTCGAAGGGATAGATGGCCTTGCAGACGCCGAGCGGTTGGTATTCTACGCTGTAGATGTCGTCGTAGAACTCGCTGCCGGCGGTGCCGTCGTACTGATCGTGGTCGGGGTCGTGGGGGTCCTGCTCGTGATCCTGGTCAGAGTCGGCGCCGGGCAGGGACGTGTGCGAGGTGCCGAGACCGCTCTCCGGGCTATTTGAACAACTGCGGTTAACAATCCAGCAGAGGCAGAGATGTAAAGAGGCAGGCAGGTATGAGACGACAGACAGAAGACAGATCACTCTTTTAAGCCGACCACTCCACACTTGCAACAACAACAACAACAACAACAACAACTTGCCAAGTTTTGTTTGTGTGCGTGCAGTCGACTAAACAATACTAATACTTGATTATATATCAATCCCATGGCCAATAATGTTAGCTATGGGACGACAGATATAATAATCATATATTATATTTCTCAATCATACGCTTGTGGCCACGATTCGAATGTTCAAAAAACATATAAATGAATGATGTATGGTTGTGCGGAATTAATATAAATGCAACGATGACTACTACTAAATGAGTTGTTGCAGACTGCTGTTTTGAACTTACCCGTGATTGAGCTGCGGGGTTCCGGGCGCGGACGGCTGCTTGTTGTGGTTGAGCGTGGGGTTCGTGACGCTGCTGTCGCTCGCCGATCTGCTCAGAGATTCCTCCTCGGCCGCGCTTCCCGCCGAATGTCGATGATGATGGTGCAGGTGGTTGTTGCGGGATCCGTTCTCAGATCTCGGCGAGTTCGTCTGCGAGTTGTTCAGCTGCTGCGTCGATCGCTGCGCTTCCTCCAGATACCCGAGGAAGCGCTTCTGCTCGGCCTGAAGCTTCTCCAACTTGTGGCTGCTCTCGTTCAGCTGACCTGCACATACCATAGATTAATAATTCAGTTTATAACTAATAATCGTTAGAGTACCTTCGATGGTCATGGGGTCGCCCAACGCCGGGTTATCCTCGTAAACGCCCTTCATCTTCATCAGACCGTCGCGCGCCGCCGATTCGCTCTTCACCTTCGCCTGCAATTCCTCGACGCGCACCCGCAGCTTCTTCAGCCTCTGGTTGGGCGGCAGCTCGCTGTAGTCGTCCTTACCATCGGCAACGGCGGCGTACTAAAAACAATTCGCAAGAAACTTTTAAAAAATAGCCGCGATTATGACGCAGACACACACACACAAGTAAAGTAAAACCTATGCCACGAGAAGCGAGTAAGAGTATCGAAGGACATACCTTGATTGCCATACACATTTCTGTAAGCTTCTGAATGCATGGAAACATAAAAAAATACAGAAAGCCGATTAGAGAGGCAAGACGCGCATGCATGCACAGAACGACGTAACATCAACATATCTAAACATAATGTAAGATGTTGTCTTTCCTGTTATATTTGCGTCAGTCACAAAAACAGATGTTAATTGAAAATTACCAAAAAGCCTAATCTAATCTAATGTTGTTAGTATTTGCAAACATGCCAACTAATTAATTAAGAAGTAACTAAAATTGATTAGTCTACACAGCTAGATACTTTATAATCGATTACTTACTAGGAGGAAATATTTTGACATTTTGAATAGTGTATATGTAAATGTATTAAGTGTTTGTGTTTTGTTTGTTGTGGTGTATCGAATCCCAGAACCAAAGGGGTAGAGTGAGAAGAGCGAAAGGAGAAAATGAAAAAAAAAAAATTAAATCATAAATACAAATATTAGAGGGGTGCGAGTGGTGTGATGCGATGAGAATACGAGTAAATACTATAAAACAAAAATACTATTTATATCTATACTGATTATTACGCGAAAAATTCAATTTTGCAAGATTCACCCTGTATTATATTGCATTATACAGAGTGAATGAATACGCTTTACGCTTTACGCCAACCAAACCACCAACCAAAATAACGTTAAAATGTGTGTGCAAAATAATCTAACGCATCTAACGCATAATACTAACCCCTTTACTGGTGAAGATGTGAAAGAGGCCCGTCCTCTTTTTCAATCCTTTCCCTGACATCGTGCCCTTCATCGTCAAACCACCGGAGCGCGGTTTCGCCTCCGCCTGTATACTGTTAATCATCGGCGTGCTTCCGCCGCTGTCACTTCCGCCCTTGGAAAGATCCTCGAAGGGGAAATCCTCGGGCGGACAGAAACCACTCTTGTATCGTTCGATGACCAGCAGCGTGTCCTGCAAAATACCAAAAGAAAGATCAGTACAATCAGTACAATACATCCATATCAAGTATGGAGGAGATTGCGATCAATCGATCAATTACTTCTTTTTCGTTAATCATGTTGCCCGCTCTGACGATGCCGTCCAGGCACGAGTTGATGATGGGAAAGACGTTGCGTTCGATCTCCGCCGAACTGTTGATGAAGTTCTTTATGTTCTTGATGCGCTTCTCGTCGAGGTCCTGCAGCTGCCGGAATACGTCGGGCAGACCGGACCGGTAGTGCTGTCGTTGCATCTCGTTGGTGCGTTGCAGCTGATCCGCGTAGTCGTTCTTTGCCGTCTCGCAAATTTGCGACTTCATCGTCATGTTCACCCTCTGTTTGTCCACCTGGTTCGTCCGACCAACGAACAAATAATTCAGTTTAATAATTATAAGTCGTATTGTTTCGAAATGTTGTACTGTACCTCCGCCCTGGACAGGTTGTAATCGGCGTCCGCCTTTTGGAAGTTGTCCACCGCTTTCTCCGCCTCTTTGAACGCCTTCTCGTACGCTTTCTTCGATCTGCCCATCACGTCGACCTGATTGTGCAGGTTCTGCTGCAGCTTCGCACCCTCCAGAAGATGCTTCTTACGGTCCTCCCGATTGATCTTGATGAGGGCGTTCAGCTCTTTCAATACATTCGATTGCATGTTCTCTGCTACCAGCTCCCTTTGTCCGGCCAGATCGTTCGTCTCGTTCATCACCATCTTGAACGCTTTGAAATAACTGAATCTGAAACACACACACACACACCACGTCACAATCATCATCATCAATATCAATATCACGAAAGAAAAGTCTTTTTGCTGTCGTTTTTCAGGCGTCGGTTAGAAAGAAGGCTGCGCGCGGCAAGGTCGTCTCTGCCTTTCACCATAGCCGCAGCAGCAGCAGCAACAGCGGCAGCCTCCTTCTGCATCGTGAAGTGAACATTCCGGGGAAAACGTACATACGTACGTACGATACGCATGAAACGTCGTCAGTTCAGGTGAAAAATGCTCTTGGTATGCGCCGCCGCCGCCGCCGCTTCGTTCATTCGTTCTTTCGCTCCTCGAGAGTCGCGTGATTCATAAAAGCAGGCACAAACGAAGAAAGACCAGCAGCATATACAACCGCCGCGATCGCCTTTACTGTGTACTGAGACTACTACCCACAACCGACCATTGCATATGGGCATTGCAACAACAACAACAACAAAAAAGAGAAATCCGCGCTGCTGCTGCCCAGTAGAAAATCGAGTCGATAAATAATTATAGCTCCTATTAAGAAAGACGCGATTTTCTCATTTACTAAATTATCAATCATTATATTATAAATTAGATTCTTCCTCCTCCTCCTCCGCAATCTTCGTTACGTGCAACACTTTCCACGTAACAATTACATTAAACTTTTGAACAATCATCGCTTTTCTTATCATCACTTTTATCATCGTTCTTGTTAAACAAATTTACATTATTACCAATTTGTACAATGCGACATTCTTTCAATACAAAGCAATATCAACAACACCAAATAAAAGAAAAACAAACAATGCTGCTGATGATACGACATTTCAATTAAGACTGAATGTTTTTCATCATTTGTTGCATTAACTTTTTAAAAGCTTTACAAACCGCGAAACAAATGCAATTAGAGAAACACGAAGTCGGAGAGGAGAGGAGAAGTAAAACGGGGAAGAAAAAGCAGACTCACAGTCGTCGTCTGGGGATTGATTTCATTGTTATTATTAAACCATCGAAAACTTTTCAATTACCACAACGTACTTTAACGGACATATAAATAGATATATGTAGGAGTGCCATCGTAAATTACTATTTGCAATTAGTTTTGCGTTTTTGTTAATCAATCGGCGATGATTGAACTAAATTGAAATTTCATTTGCGTTTTTAAAATGAACATTATTATTGTTAAAGCTAAACGTACACGCGATAACATAATGTGTAACGTAACGTTTCCATAATTTTGATTAATTAGATTGAAATGTGAAGTACAAAGAAAACTGTTTCGTAATTTCAGTTGCATTTCCGTTGAGCACGCGATGCGTTTTATAAAATCTATGTTATTTATATGTGTGTGTGTGTGTGTAGCAAAAAAATCTAGCAGTAGAATGTTAAATTTGCGTTCTAATGCAAATTGCAATTTAAAAATAATAAAAACGCAAACAAAGCAATTAACTCTCGACTGTCTGTCTGTATGTCTGTCCCAACGACCGACCAATCGACCAACCAACCAACCACTTTGTTGTAAAGTAACGACAAAACATCCACACCAATTCGGTTTTCAAACAACAAGTTCAATGTCGTTCGTTTAGATGTTATTTTTAAATCGAAAAATCGTCAAACAATTAACGTTATCAAGTAATTACATCAAAGGATTTGCATTATACTTCTTACTCGTAAAGTAATGCGCAGAATAAAGAAAAAGAAGAAGCAAAACATTTGAAAAATGAAATCTTTATCTTATTACGGACGAAGTTGAGTCACAAACATTCCGCAAACATTGAATTGTTATTTTTGCGGAAAGATTTTTGAATCTGTGTGTGAATCACGATCATTATTATTAATATAATATAATGTTATTATTAATTATTTTCTTCTTCCTTTCTAAAATTAAACTTTGTGGTTTTCCTAATACGAAGGAATTCTCCTACGTGACTTTTCGAGTGTTTAACAAACACATTGCGAGATAACGCAATCTTTTTGTTTGCTACGTTGCTACGAAACGTAATCGGGATGGAAAAACAACGATTGGCGTTCGTCAAATATTGTTGTGTTTGCTCGTCGTCATTGGTAACAATTAGTTGTTTGATGAGACAAACGAAAGATTCGATTTTATTTGTTGGTTGCTGGGGAAAAAAACAAAGCGAACGATATGAAATCAAATGTTGGACAAATACAAATATCTAAATCACTTGTGTTTTTGGGGGCACACAGAGTAACAATAACAGTAGCATAAAAGGGACGTGACCAGCCCGAATTTGCATCAGTCCTCCATCGGTTTCTTCCATCGTTCGATTTGTTGCTGGTTACCATAAGTAGCAGTGCTGTAGACGGATGTTTCTGAGCTCCTTCTCGGTACTACTACTTTATGCAACCAACAAGCAAATATCATCAAAGAATCGTTTTGTTGTTGTTGTGCTTCTTCGAGAGTAGTGTTTTCGAGTTATCATCCTTTTTCGCCACGTATGTCTTTGCGCTAAGTAGTTGATGCCGTAGGTGTTGAACCTGTCCGAACCACCACGGTTCAACTGCTTTGCACAAAGATGCACTCGTTGATTTCTGCTGGTCAAGTAATTCTCTTCTCTTCTCTTCAGTATTCGTTCGATTGCTCCAAGTAGTGAAGCCTGCAGTGTGTATGTATTTGCTTGCCGCAAGTGGAGGAGACGAAGAAGTCTTATTTTCGATATCCTCCAACTTTTTCACACTCTGGTTACACTGCTCAAAGCAACCGTTCACGACTTTCATCACAAAAACGACGGCAGTTGTTTTAAGTATTACAGCCTGAAGTGTTGAATTATAAGCAGCAAACACACTTTGGAGCTGCACTACTTGAAATAAATGTCGTCCATGCCATGTCTTCTCCTCGACGATGGATCAACTTTGCACATTTTCAATGTTTCCATGACAATTGTTGTTATTCGTAATAATAAAATAATTTAAAAATAAATCCGTCTGGCTTTGGGTGACTCAAACTCGCGCTCGTCCTTTGTTTTCATTGATACCCGCTGCTGCTCAGTGGATGTGCTGACGATATGATAACGAAACGAAACGCTTTTCCACTTTACTCCTCTCCTCACCAGAAAATGAAAAAAAAATCATGACTCAAATGCAATTGATATAAAAACCGAATCAATTGCATCAATGATAATGATAATGGTAAACCGCAACCCAAGAACCGCGTAAATGAAACAAAACTGGCAAATTGTGAAGTTTGCGAATAAAATTGTTGTCAAGTTGAATGGTGAAAATTGCGGTAGTAATCTAATCTAAATTAGGTTTTGATTGACGCTAATTGCGAAGGGTCATTAATTGCATAAACACCATCAAAAGGAAACTCAACACTCACGTCCTCCTCAAATTAGGTAATGAGAGAAGAGCAGTTTCCGTCAGTTTCTGCAGGCAGTTCGAATTTATGTGTTGCGAACAGCTTTGAAGTATTAACAAAATAGAAAAGGAAGTTTTCTTGTTCGCTTGCTCCATTGTTTCAAGTGGTCTGTGTAATGTAATGTTGCCTTGAACAATTTTTTTTAAATTTTATTTTACTGGAAACACGCAAAGTGTACCAAGGTTCTGTTCTTATTATAATAGTGCCGACGTCGCGATTTACATCTTGGGTATTTTTTTGTTGTCGTTGTTGTTGTTGTATATTGCATATAGATTTTACACTCACTGGTTTTCCTCCTCATCCTTTTTCCTGGGTTGGTACGTCTTTGCCAGTCGTCTGCAACAGAAGCATTGAAAACATTAGAGATAAGATGAAAAGAGATTTAAGAGATTTATCCGATTCGTTGCAAACGAAAAGCAATTTGAGCTCTGCACATTTTTACGACATATCGCCACAATCTCGGATTAAGATTGAAAGATTTAAAGAGAGAAAAACTATTGTTGTTATTATTATCTATAAACGGTAATCCCATCTCGTTTCATTGTTCATTTATTCAAAAGAACGCAATTAATCGCAATAGCCGTTAAGCTTCTATGCAAGTGTCATCATCAGCTGATTACCGTCAATTACCGTATTCGTATCATCATCATCATCGACAGCTGATAACTGCCAAATCGATTGATATTAAACGCATGTACGAATTTGTCGTGCGATGACAGTTTTCGAACGCGAATTGTTAATCCTGCTAGCTAATGATAGGTGAAACGAATCTACGAGACGAGACGATGCGGATGATGATGACTAAGACGGTGCTACGAATCGCAGGAAAAGCGTCATCGCAAAATCACCAGAGAAGTCTCTCTCTCTCACTATGTGTGACTAATTGCGTAAACGAATCGGAAATCACAGACAAACACACACTGTTTGTTTGCCTTTTCTTTTTTTTCTTTCTACATAATATAATTTTCATTCGCGAAACGAGAGCACCGCAACCTTCGACTGACTTAATCTGTTCTAGGATTTTTCTCGCAACACGTGTGCCGCAGATTAATCCGAAATATTAAGTAGGCGATGAAACTAAATAATTTGCAAATGTCAGAGATTTGTTTGAAATTGGGTTTATTTATTATTATTCTTTCGTCGGGAGCGACCTTGAGGCCTCCTCTTCACCGACGCCGCCTACGTCTTCGAAAAGCGAAAACAAAAAGAGGACGAGGAGACGGTTTCTTTTCTTTTTTTCATTTGGGTTGTTGTTGCGTTGCCGGTGTTACGGAAATAGAGTTGCGGGAGGTGAAGGGAGAAAACGGCTGAGATTGCAGCAGGAAGGAGGAAGGAAGGAAGGAAAAAAAAGAGCGTGCGCTTGTAATAAATATGAAAGAAGAAGAAGAAAAGGTTGGATCGGACGGAACGGAACGGGCTGAGCGGAGCGGAATTTTTCGAAAATAAAAAAAAAGTGGCCGCAAATCGCGTTGCATATATTTAGTTGGCGTGGAGGGGAAGGATGAACAACCTCGAAGAGCGCTGGAAACAGATATAAAAACGGAATATTCAAGGTTCTTTTGGCCTTTTCGGTTTATGCGTGTGTGCGTGCGTGGTGTATGATGCTCTTTTCTCGCAAGAAAAAGTTATCCGTTCTCAACAGGTTTTTGGTTGAGATTCATAACGAGAGAGAGAGAGAGAGAGAAGGGGATTTCTGATTGAGACGAAAATGGTTTCGCGTTACCGAATTGGGATACGGAAAGGTTGAGATTGATTCGCGGTAAAGATCGCGCACGCACTTAAAGAAGGAAATAATCTTCCAAAGCTGAACGTTAATTTTCTGGGAGGCGGCTTGCGTCACCATCGCAGCTGATGATGATGATGATGTCGTGTTACTCGTCGTCGTCCCCCTTTCATATTAGATTGATGTTTGACGCGATGATTATCACTATGATGACCCACGCACAATATCTTTGTCGCGGTCGTCTTTGCTTTTTCACATATCAAAATAGAAGTTTTTCATTTATTTACCTGAGTTTGTTGGCGTATTCCGTTTCGATGGTCGCCCGATCTCTGATGAAATGTCCGAACCTCTCGAGGAATTCGATACCCTTCAGCGTGTGCGTCGCCAAATTGTCGTACTGGTCCTGAAATTAGACAAATGGAAATTCAATGTAATACAAAGAGTGTTTCCGAAACGTCGAGATGATGATGATGATAGACATCGAAATCCCAAACATTTTAGTGCAGTCATTCAACTTTATCAATTCATTTGTATATTTTGCTTTTGCATTCTAGAAATACTCTTTAACGTGGAGGTAAAATCGTTGCACAGTTTGGGAACTCCTGCTCTAAACGCTCTATATCAAATAATAAAAGATACATCTCATATACCCGCATCATCCACCACACAAAAAAAATAATCAAACATTCCGTGCATTCATCAACTGTTTATTGTGTTTGTTTTGTTTATTGTAATTGTTGCATTCCACTGAAGCGTTGAAGCTCCCCCCCCCCGCACCCGTTCGCTCCGCATTCATCCTCTTCTTGACCTGACCTCCTGTCCTGTCCTGACTGACGACCATACCATCTCGGCAACGGCGGCAATTAGTCGCAACTCGTAATAAATTTCTGAACGACCCGGGAATGCAGCGGACACACACACACACATATGGCACCGAGAGAGAGCCGCACAAGAAGCACAGTTACACACACACACACCTCATCATACACGTTTCCGGTTTTGTTTTTTTTTCTTTTTCTTAATCGTTTTCTCCTCATTTCCAAATCCAATTTACCACAATTGCTTTTCGCTTGTTTCTGCCAACTAAGCTATCATCTCCTTTTGACAAAACACAATCGATCGCAGATCACACTTGATTTTTTCGAAAGTCGCACGTGCCCGTCTCTATTCTAAACTAAAAACACCTTTTCTCTCTCTCTGTCTCTCTCCTTTTTGTTTTACCAACTTTCAACGGTATATATGTTAATTTGTTCCAGACTCGAAAAACTTGAATCTAACGATGTGATTAATTTTACTTAAAATGTCCAAATTATTATTAGATTTTCGAATTTCTGTTATCGGAAATCATAATTTCATACGGTAATGTTTTTCTCAATTAATTCCTAATTAGCGAAAGGTAAAAATTTGAATTTATCGAAGTCAGCCAGCTGTTTACATTTCAAATCAAGCATAGTTAATTTCACAGAGCGAGAGAGTTCAAGGTGAGAGAACTCCGAATCTTTAAATTGAATTATTTCTGTTAATCTAAAATACATCTTGTCTTGTTTCCTTGATCAGTGTGTGTGAGAGAGAGAGAGAGAGAGAGGAAGAGAAGAAAAAAAACAATGTGGAGAAAAGAAACGAGTTTTGCAAAGATTTCGCGAAAGCTGCGATTTTCTTCTCTATTTTTTTTCCCTGCATTTATTGTTGTTGTTACCTTGTGAACGTGCAATAGCGCAATTAGCTTCAGTTGCGAGCAACTTTCGAAGGATAACAATTTAGAATTTTTATATATGTATAGAGAATGGTGTAATAGAGCACGGAAATTAATCAATTTCGCGTAGCAATTAAAACGGAAACGTTAAAAGTATTCCAGTTGAATCCAATCAAATCCAATTGGAATATGCGCGAGATTTAATCCAGTTAATGAGGCGCTTAAACTGTGCCGTGAAATTAAATTATTATTTCCATGGTAACGGGATTAACGAATCTGTTGTTGAATACGCATAGCGACGAGTTGTAATCCACCCCCCCAGGTTTCGACACAAATTAAGGGCCGCAGATTGACATTTAAGAAAGGTTAAGAGACTGTTTGGCACGCGTCGATTTCTTTTTGGTTTGCGTACAACAAAAAAAAAATCGGTCAGGTCAAGTGGTGTGTGTGTGCGTGCGTGCGTGCTGTATGCGTTCTGCGAAGCATCAAAAAGATCCGAAAATAGAGTACCGAAACGACGGGCATGGCAGGGCAGAAGGAGAAGTAGAAGGATGAGATCGAAAATTGTATGGGGGTCTAATAATACCGGTAAACACGTCGTTTTACCGGCGTCGCGGTTCAACATGAACGCACGCGATCCCAAAAATA